CATGTCCCAGGTCATCACATATTGTTTAAGGCTTGTGGACTTCAAATCCCAGAATTCCTCCTCTCACTCTTCATCTTGATGATATGCAGACAGGCGGAGGGAGGGAGCTGGAACCGGTTCTAAACAGCACTGTAGATTTGTGGAACCTCTTCTAGAGAAGAGGTTAGAACTGGCAGGAACCCACCCCTGGGTCAGGAGGATCTTACTTGGAGTTTCATTCTTACTTAAACAATATGTGATGACCTGGGACATGGCACAGAGGTAACACAGGCAGCTGGCAGTTCAAACTGCCCCTTTATTGCTCCAAATTTCCCCAAATGCTACCACATTTCTAGCAAATCCCAGAGCAAAGTGATGACACACAAACACACACACCTCAAGCAGCCTCTGGCTGCAAATAATGCAACCCAACGCTGTGAGCACCAGGGCTGCAAAGCAAGAAATCCAGAAAGAATGCAAGGAATCCAGGAAAGTTCAAACATCGGCCCTCAACACTCCAGGAATTCAGCATTTGTTCCCAAGAAATGCCCCTCCCCACAGTGTCTCCTTAAGTCTCAGTACCCGGGTGTAACATCTCCTCCCGAGTAGTTGGATCAGACTCTGCTGTTCTCGCATTCTCTCCACTCTCCATGCTCTTGGATCAGGAGGAGGTGGTCCTTGGTCATCGCCTGAGCTGTCTCTCATGTTCACTGCTTAGCCTCTCTTGGTCATCCTGCCCCCGTTCCTCCCTGCCTACAAGCCATCCCAATGAGAGGTGGGTTCCTCCCGGTACAGTATGGTACACCAGAAGAGGTAGTGAAAATCTGGTGTATCGGACCAGACTGGCAGCAATGGCGGCCTGGCCACGCCCCCGCACTCGTGAAAGAAAGAAACAGCCGAGGAAGGAAGAGGAGCAGAGGCCTCAGCTGTTGGAAGAAGTGTTCATGCTTCATTCTCTTTTAGAGCCACCTTGCTTGGCGTGGGGGGAAATCAGGGGGCGAGAGGGAGGAGAAAGCCGAGCTTCTGCTAGAGACAGCCTTCTCCTCTCTCTCTCTCTCTCCCTGATTTCTCCCAGCTGGCAAAACAAATTTTCATGGTTCTGTGGGCATGGCTAGATGAGGGGCATGTGACTGCATGCGTGAGAATGATGTTAAGTAGGTCACACCCACTCAGTCACATGCTCCCCCACCTAGCCACCCCCACAAAACCAGTAGTAAAAAAACCATCCCTTTTTTAGCAGATTTTTTATTATTATTTTCCCTTCTACAACACCTTACAGTCATTACATCAACATTGTTNTCTGACTGGATGGTGGGGAATGGAAGGATTTATATTCCTTGCAGACAGCTGGTCATTTGCATCCTTTTAGAGGGTCGTTGAGGCCACTTGGAGGTGTATCAGTGTCCTCAGGGTCACCTGAGTGGCGCTTCTGGTTTCTCTAGTCTGCAATTTTTTCCCTCTGGGAATCCATTCCTTCTCCCACACCATTCCAAGGGTCTTCATCCCAAATTATATAGCTAAAAGGTCTGTAGAGATTCTCAGTCACCCAGGTCACGGTTGCCCCAATGATACTTTTTTTCAGGAGGGACCTGGACTTTCTTGAATTTTTTTTCGTCTGAAGACGTTTCGCTTCTCATTTTAGAAGCTTCTTCAGCTGTGTTCAAGCATGAGTGTTGGAAAGTGCTCCTTCCATTCTAATAGCAGATACTGTTTGGCCTCCCAATTTTTTTTTCTAATTTGGCAATCTGAGATGAAGTAGCGGAGGAATCTAATTTCTCCTGCCCAGCTTTGAAGCCAGGGACCTGCCCTTGAGAGAGGCTCCTTGCCCTGAAGAGCTCACTGTTGGCAGGAGCTGGTTTATGGGACCTCCTAAAATGTAGAGTTTGATGTGAAGGCAAGTCTCTTTGTATGCGAGTCGCCTTGTTCCTCGAAGCTGCGGAGATCTTCTCAAGAGTGTAAGAGTTTGACTTGTACCACTTCTTTCACAGGTGGATCCTGAGCCCTATGTGGAAATCTGCACGTACGACACCTGCGTTTGTGAGACCATTGGGGACTGTGCCTGTTTCTGTGATGCTATTGCTGCTTACGCCCACGCGTGTGCCCAGAAAGGAGCTGTGATCAACTGGAGGTCTCCAACTCTATGCCGTAAGCGCTGGGGCGAGAATATGAACTAATTGAGAGGAGGAGGGTGAGGGAGGGAGAAAAAGAGAGGGGGGGAGAGAGAAAAAGAGAGAGAGAAAGAGGGAGAGAGAGAAAGAGGGAGAGAGAGAAAGGGAGAGAAAAAGAGAAGGAAAGGGAGAGATAGAGGGAGAAAGAGAAAGCGATAGGGAGAAAGAGAGGGGGAGAGAGAGAAAGAGAGAAAGAAAGAGAGAGAGAAATGGAGACAGAAATAGAGAGAATGAGAGAAAGAAAGGAAGAGAGAAAGAGAGAGAAAGGGAGAAAGAGAGAAAAAGACAGGGAGAAAGGGAGAGAGAAAGAGGGAGAGAGAGAGAGAAAGAGAGAGAGAAAGGGGAAGGGAGAGAGAGAAAGAGGGAGAGAGAGAAAGAGGGAGAGAGAGAAAGGGGGAGAGAGAGAGGGGAAAGAAAGGCATAGAAAGAGGGAGAAAGAGATAGAGATAGAGAGAAAGAGAGGGAGAGAGATAGAAAGAGAGAAAGAAAGAGAGACAGAAATGGAGACAGAAATAGAGAGAATGAGAGAAAGAAAGGAAGAGAGAAAGAGAGAGAAAGGGAGAAAGAGAGAAAAAGACAGGGAGAAAGGGAGAGAGAAAGAGGGAGAGAGAGAGAGAAAGAGAGAGAGAAAGGGGAAGGGAGAGAGAGAAAGAGGGAGAG